CATTCTCACTGTGTAATTAGAGGCTTGTCGGGGGATCATTTACTCAGTGTCTGTGACACCCAGGCCAGCCATCATTAACTACTTAAGGAGTTAGGAATGAAATGAATGAGTGCACTAATGCTGCCCCTGAGTGTTTCTGGAATGTTCTGGAGTGCTTCTGTCAGGGCTGGGCCCAGCCTGTCCCTGCCAAAATAGCTAGTTGGCTCAAGGGTCACAGTCCCTTCCGAGTTCCCTGGAGACATGGTCGCCTAGGGCCCCGGGCCCCAGCACTGCCCCCAGGAAGGAGGAGGGTGGACACAGCCTGTTTGGCACCTGCCATACAGAAAACCCTCCCTGGGACCCAGAGGGGCAGGGCATTCAGGACACTCACTGCATGACCTCTGCATGGGGCTTCCTGCCCTCTCTGGGTAACGTGTTCCCAACTTCAAGGGGACGGACCAGGACGACCTCTAACTGAGACAGCCGTGTCTTCAAGAGCATGCTGTGTTCCCCGAGTGTTTACTCAGGGACAGGCCTTGTGCTTAGCCATTTACATGTGTGCTCTCATTTTTTTTTGGAAGTAATATTTTAAAATTTCTGACTTCATTGCAGACTGAGAGAGGAGTGGGAAGAATAGTGCAGCCAATACATAGATCCTCCTGGCCATCGAGTTGACTGAAGGCGAGCCCGTGTGTGCCAGAGCAGAACTGCGCCCCACACGTTTTCCAATGGGGGTGGGTGAGAAGTAGATCGCCAGGGCTTTCTTCCAAGGCACTTCTGGGTGGACTTGAACCTTCTGCCCTTTCAGTTCGTAACTTCAAATGTTAACTATCTCACTGCCCAAGCACTCCACACACTGTATTTTTACCCAAACAACAGACCCATACTGTTTTTGCAATATCCTAACCCCCTCCAGTACTCCCTTCCTATGCACGCTATTGGCATTATGTGTGTGGGCACCTTGTTTCTCAGTGCCTGTTGTACATGAAAAATGTGTATGTTTGGGGGTTTCAAAAAGTTTTTTAAATTTAAGTTTTATTGGCATATATACTTCATATATCATACACATTAATATTTGTGCAATCATCACCACAATCAATTTCAGAACATTTTCTTCTTGTCCTCATTGTTGCTAACTCCCCATGCCCCTTCCAGCCTCCCTCGCCATGCCCCTAGGTGATTATCAATCAGGTTACTGTCTCACTAGAGCTGTCTATCCTGGATTTCATAAACAGACAATCACAGAAACCACAAGCAGGAGGCAAACAAACTAACAACAATGACTAGACAAAACAAAGAAGAACCTCAATCAAAAAGGAAGCAGAAAATATTAAAAATTGACACAACTTTAGAATGCATCAAAAGGGAGACCTAATGATAAGATATTGCGTCTTAACCTAAGTACATCTGCCAGAACTGACTTCACAGCGCTCTCTGTTAGACCTTCTTTTGAAGGGACTCTCGTGTGTTTGAGAGAACCTGTCTGGTGAGCTGCTGGTCACAGAGGTATAGTTAAATGTGCTTTGTTTGGAATTGAAACCCTAGTAGCAACATTATTGTTTTTTTTTTTTACTTACCCTAGTACATGTATGTGTTTTAAAAAATTTATCTATTTTTGTATGTACTTTTTAATGCACTGTTTAAGGGCGCTGGGGGTGTAGTGGTTATGTGTTGAGTTGCTAACCAAAAGGTCAGCAGTTCGAAACCACCAGCTACAGCTCAGGAGAAAGATGAGGCTTCCTACTCCTATGCAGCGTTGCAGTCTTGGAAACCCAGAGGGGCAGTCTATCCTGTCCTACAGGGTCGCTGTGAGTCAGAATTGTCTGGAGGGCTGTGAGTTTGATTTTGTTTGCGGTTGAGAGACATGATGCCCCTTTACTTCTGAGTACTTGCGAGTGTACTCCTGAAAAACAGTATATTCTCAGTACTTAGCCAAGCTCAGGTATTACAATCAAAATATTAACATTGGTTGTCTAGAATTATTATCTAATTAACAGACGGTTTATGTATTGGCCAGTAATTACCTTGATAGCAAAACACAGATCAGAGCTCATGCCTTGCATTGAGCTGCCCCGTCTTCTTCGTCTCCTGGGATCTAGGACCTTTGGAGTCTCTCTTTGTACTGGGTGGCACAGACTGGTTTTGAAGAGTTTAGGGTTTTGTCTTCGTATAAGAAGCCCTGCTGGCACTCAGGTGCTGGCCTAATTGTTGGTGGTTCGAATCCACCAAGCAGCTCTATAGGAAGAAGACCTGATCTGCTCCCAGGAAGACTGTTGCTGTTGACTCCGAACATCCCTGTGTCCAACAGCAGGAACCCCACCCAGGCCTGCGCCAGCCTCACAGTCGTGGCTATCCTTGAGCCCCCATTGCAGCCTCTGTGTCTGTCCATCTTCTTGAGTCTTCTTCTTTCCTGCTGCTGCGCTACACTACCAAGCATGATGTCCCTTCCCGGGGCAGGCCTCTCCTGATAATGTGCCCAAAGTGCATGAGACGGCGCCTCGCCATCCACATGGCTCAGGAGCATTTGGGCGGTGCTTCTCTCAGGACCGGTCTGTTTGTTCTCCGGGCAGCACTGGGAGTATCCTTCACGGACACCCTCCTTCAAAGGCATGGATCCTCGTCTGGTCTTCCTCACTCGCCTCGGTGTCCCATGAGATAGAGGATGCTACGGCTCTGCATTCTGGTGGGGCACCTTTCTTTGGGATGGGTACAAGTTGGTCAGCCAGGTAGCTGTCTTCCAAATTTCTTGGCACAGTGAGCGCTTCTGGTGCTTCATCTTGTTGAAACATTTCTCCTGGCCGGCCATCTATGCCTGGAGGCTAGCGTCTCACGATTGCTTCAGGGCAGCTTGGATTTCTTCCTTCACAACCTTTGGTTCTTGATCAGATGCTATGATCATACTTCTTGATGATTCTTCTTGAAATGGTTGAAGGTCGACCAGTTCTTTTTGGTGCAGTGACTCTGTGTATTCCTCCCATCTTCTTCCGATGCTTTCCACATCATTCAATATTTTTCCCACAGAATGTTTTAATATTGCAACTGGAGGCATGATTTTTTCCTTCAGCTCTTTCAGCTTGAGATGTGCTGAGGGTGGTCTTCCTTTCTGGTTTTCTAACTCGAGGTTTTTCATTATAATGCTCTTTTATAACGTTTCATGATAATGCTCCACTTTGTCTTCTCCGCTGCCCTTTGAGGTGTTCTGTTCAGCTTGTTGACTTCATCGTTTCTTCCGTTTGCTTTAGCTACAGTCAAGAACAAGTTTCAGTCTCTTCGGACATCCACATTGCTATTTCTTTCCTCTCTTGGTGATGACTTCTCGAGTCCTTCCTTCGTGTCTGACGCTCCGGAAGTGACCTCACAGCCCGTCAGGTCTTCTGTCCTGTTGCTCAGTGGAGCAAATCTGCCCTTGGGATGGTCTCCAAATTCAGTTGGGATATAACTCGAGGTTGTGTTTTGGCTCCGGTGGACTTGTTTGAATTTTCTTCAACTTCAACGTGAACATACCCACGAGCAATTGGTCTGCTTCCACAGTCAGCCCCTGGCCTTGCTTTGGCTGTTGATACTGAGCTTCTCCATCGCCTCTTCCCACAGTTGTAGTCAATCTGATTTCTGTGTGTCCCATCTGGAGACGTCCCCGTGTACAAATTACCTTTGATGTTGTTGAAAAAGGTGTCTGCAATGAAGAAGTCATTGATTTCCCAAAATTTCATCATGCCACCTCCAACTTCATTTCTTTCCTTCTTTGTTTTCAACTTTCATTCCAATCGCCAATAATTATTAATGCGTCTTGATTGCATGTTTGATCAATTTCAGACTGAAGTAATTGATAGCATTCTTCAGGTTCCTCATCATTAGCCACAGTGGTTGGTGCATAAATTTGAATAATAGTTGTATTAACTGGATTTCTTTGTATGTGAATAGATATTATCCAAGCAGACCACATTGTGCTTCAAGATAGATCTTGAAGTGCCCCTTTTTGACAATAAATGTGATCTCATTGCTCTTAAATTTGTCATTCACAACATAGTAAGTCATATGATTATTGATTCAAAATGGCAAATACCTGTCCATTTCATTATACCAGTGCCAAGAATATTGATCTTTATGCATTGTTTCATTTTTGTTGACTTCCAATTTTCCTAGACTCATACATTGTACATTCCAGGTTCTAATTATTAATAGAGATTCGCAGCTTTTTCTTTTCCTTTTCAGTTGTGCCCCATCAGCAAATGAAGGTCCCCAAAGCTTTACTCCATCCGTGTCATTATGATCGACTCGACTTTGAGAAGCAGGTCTTCCTCAGTCATATTTTGAGTGCCTTCTGGTCTGGGAGACTCCTCTTCCGGCGCTCTATCTGACAGTGTTCCCCTGCTACCCATACGGTTTTCCAGGGCTAATTCCTCAGAAGTGGAAAGTCTATTCCGTCTTCATAGTCTGTTCTCAGTCTGGAAGCTCTGCTAAAACCTTTTTATTTGGGATGACCAAATACCAGTGACATAGCGTCCTGCATCACAGCAACACGCAAGCCACCACACTGACAACCTGACAGACAAGTGGTGGCCAATGAGCTCACAGCTTAGAAAACCTTATGGCCAATCTAGTCTTGTCCCACGGAGTCTCCGGGAGTCCACGACTCCAGGGCACACCTGACCACAAGCTGGTGGGCTGCCCCTCAGTTTGGGTTTGTCTCCTGGTGCTGAGTTTGAGTCTCTGCGCCATCTCATTGGTCCTGGAGGAGGCGCTGTGCTCCCTCCAGTTATACACAGGGAGCACAGGTGCATGGCCTTGCTTGCAGGACCAGGTCTCAGACAGTGGGGGGGAGACGGCTCACCCCTGTCCTCACCCTGGCGTCTCGCTATGACTCCAGCCACCCTGCCTGTCCCAGGCCTGGGAAACTCCCCCGAGGGCAGCAGCACCTCTGATTCCCCCCCCCCCCATCATCCTCCTTCCCCACAGGTGGGTGTTCCTGGTGAAGAAGGGCTACCAAGACACAGACAACTCTCTGCAGAGCTCTGTCATCACCAAGGTCAAGGGCGTGGCCTTCACCAACACCTCGGAGCTTGGGGCGCGGCTCTGGGATGTGGCCGACTACGTCATCCCACCCCAGGTCTGAGCCCCACCTTCTCTGCTGCCGGGACCCTGGGGACCTCCACTCCCTGTCTCCCTCTGCCCAGGAGGTTTGCTGCAGACCCTTCCCTGCACAGTTCACCCCTGCCCGCCCTGACTGTCCCCAACCATCATCAGGATGATCTGTAACTGCAGGAAAGAGGAGGTGGCGGAACCCTGGCCATTTCTACAACTGGCTGTGTCCCCAGAGCCTGTTCTGCAGGCAGCCCCTGAGCCTGTTGAGACCAAATGGGGATAGGAGGGTTCCCCGCCATTTTTACCACGGCCACATCAGGACTCTCCCCGGGGCGCCCCTCCTTCTATTAGCCACTGCCCCTGGGAATGGCTACCCAGCCAGCTCAGGACTCACCTGGGCCAGGCCAGGCCCATCACTGCCCTTCCTCCCCTGGGTCTGGGCTTGGCCCCCAGGGACTGAGACCAAACAGGGTTTCCTGGGGTGGGCGCGTGGGGCATTGTGGGCCAGGAAGGGCCCTCCAGGGCACCTGCTAAGGGAATATGGGGTCAGCAGGCAGAGGGTGGGGTCCTGTCGTTCAGTGGCCCCACCCACCCCAGTTTCCACTCAGATGCCCCAGGCAGCCCTGGGTAGGGTGGGGAGTGGGGAGGGCAGGAGGTGTACCTGCAGAAAACAGCCCTGCCATAGGGCACTGAAATCTCGTCCCTGTCCAAACATTGGACACTCCTTTTGAAAAGTCACTCTGTCATCATTTCAGTTCATAACTACAAGCCAAGTGCGTTCCTCTTTCCCTCCACACCTTGTGGCAGGGCCTGAAAATGACACCTGCCCCTCCTCGCGCTCAGGCCTGGACATTGGCCTCTGCTGTGCTCAGGGTCCTTGGCTGCCGTGTCCTCCCTGTCTGCGCTCAGCGGAGCAGGCCCGCAGTCGGCCTTGACCCACGGAGGCCCAGTTATTTGAAAGCATTAGTGTTCGCCGGCTCAAGGATCTCACAGCCGCCCGTGGAAACTGTGATGGGGGCTAGATGCTGCTAGAGGGGCGGGTAGGGGCCTTCAGGAGGGGCTCCATCCCTGCCCCCTACTGGCCGAGCCCCTGGTAGAGAAGGGCCCTGACCCCCCTCTGGTTCCTCAGGGAGAGAGTGCCTTCTTCGTGGTGACCAACCTGATTGTGACTCCCGGTCAGCGGCAGGACACCTGTGCTGAGGTGATGGGGGCGAGGGGAGGGCAGAACCGCCAGCAGTGGTTGGGGTCCTCTCTCCTGTCCTGTGGACGTGCCTGTGTGGTTTGGGGCTGGGCCTGGACGGGGTCAGGCTCTTAGCAGGGTATGTGAACCCAGGCAGGGGAAGACCCCCCCCTTCTAACTGAGGGGTGGGACTGGGCTCTGAGGGAAGCCCCTTTTCTTTTTGGGCAGAATAAAGACATTCCCGATGCCGAGTGCTCTGAGGACAGCGACTGTCATGCTGGGGAGGCTGCTGTCACCGGAAATG